TTCCCGGTCGCGGCCGCCGCCGCCGCGGAGCTAGCAGCAGCTGCCGACGGAGCTCTTCCTTCCGCCAGCGCAGCGCGGAGGGCTGCAGGTCTATGGGGCCCCCGCGGCATGGGCCTCAGCGACCAGCGTTGCAGCGCTGGCGCCGCCGTCCAGCCGATGGGCCAGCGCGGGGTTCCTGGCGGTCAGCGGATCACCGCCCCTCGCACTAGTGGTTTCGGCCATTTCGCATGCCCGTGACAGGGCCAGCTAGCGCGAGCTGCCCTGCCAGACCGAGCGACGCCGCGGATGTGAGCACCTGAGGAAGTGCCGACCGCGGCTATCAGGACCACCGTGCACGACCTGGCCCGTGAGATATCCATCTGATTGTCTTCCGTGGCCATATGGGAGGCCGAACGTGGCGCTCGGATGGAACGACGACGTGCTCGCCGACGTGAGCGCGCCCAACAGATAATGGACATGGTCCTAGCTGGACTTCCAGGCGTCGCGCCGCCGCCTCTGCCGTCGGAGCTTACAGGAGTTGAAGTTGATGCCGATGATGGGCGGCATCTTTGTGGACCGCTATGCCGCCGGCGTCTGTGAATGTGGTTGCCGCGCTCATCGGGGCCGTGCTGGCGCCTGGGCCGCCGCTGGCTGCGACGGCGCCCAGATGCGAGCAGTGGGCGAAGCGCTCCGTGGCGACCAGGCCCGAGCACCGTTCTCACTGTGCCAGTCTTGTAGGCGACAGTTGGTGCGGCGCGAGGTCGCGCGCATTCCCGTCCCATCCGCGCCCCGCGAAGCGCCCGAGGACGCGCCATCTTGCGCTGGCGGGGTTCGGATCGCGCCGCGAGGCGCCAATCGTCGAGATAACCATCATCATTCCTGTATCCGCCTGGGGGCAGCCGTCGCCCCGTGGCTCACCGCAGGGCGGTGAAGCCGACGTGCTTCCCTGGTGGCCAGCCGCCGGCTCAGCAGGCGAGTGTGCCTTTCATGTGTATCGCAGTCGCGCCTGGCTCCCTTCGCGTGAGCTCAGCGTCGTCGCGTGCCCAGGTGCGCCCATCGGGTGGGCGCCCCCATGGCCGTCGCGGATGAACAGGGCGACGCTACAATCCGCAATCTCATTCGCGGAGAAGCTATCAGGGATGGCGCGCAGGGAAATGCTGAGATGTCCGATCTCAGCATGTGCACCGCGTCGTGCGCCCACGCATTGCTCCAGAAGTCCGTTCTTGCACCGACCGAGACCTTTTGCCTGGTCTCTCTTGCCTAGCCCGCAGCGCGGACCCGGCGGTCTCGTCGTCGGCGCCTCGAGCTGGAGACGGTGATTCTTTGCGCATGAGGTTTTGCCGTGCGAGTCGGCAGCAGGACCGCCTTCCTTGTTGCCCAGGTGCCGCCGTCATCTGCCTTTCCTACCGCGGAGGCAGCGCGGGCGGAGGCGCGCAAGGGGCAGGGCACTGCGTCAGCCAAACGTCCCAAGAATGTATAAGATGTTTGGCGACATCGGCGACGATCTCCCTGGCCTTGCGGAGCTCGCGCATGCTGCGAGCTGGCGCTGGCTGCGTCGCATGTGCGACGCGATATCCGCAGACTACGCATGCGTTGGTGGCGTGCTACGCGGACTCAGACTTACAAATGCGCGCGGCAGCCCAGTGCCCGAGCACAGTCATCCAAGTCATCGCTGGCATGGTAGACGCATGCCGCGAGTGCTGGGTTTGGGCCAGCAGCGCGTCGCATTTCACAGCCTCGGTTGAGCTGGTCGCGGCTCCCGATCAGGACATCCTCTTCAATCGCCAGTATCCGATCTAGCACATGATAGAAAGCGCCGACCGATGGCATGCAGCGCTTCTGGAAGGTGACTCCCGCGATGCTGGACGCCGATCCTCCGGGGGCCTGTGCTCTGCTATCCCGGCGCGTTGGATCTCGATCTTCGGATTATTCAAGACTTTAGGATAATAGATGGCGAACGTGGTGTCCTAGGTGCAGCAACTAATCCGTTCTTCGATCGACGCGGCAGCGCGGTCCGAGTGCCGGCCCCTGACCAGCGCGCCCGAATGAGTGAGCGACGCGGTGCAATCTCACGACGCGCCGTGCACGCGCCGAAGAACATATTCGGCGTGAGTGGCTCGGAGTCACTCTCATATCCCACGGAGGTGACGCGCCATGCAGCGCGCGATTTGGACGGCAGCCGCGGATGCTTCTGGACATGTTGGCACTCCGGGGCGACGCCGCAGGCGTGGCTCGCAATTCGCACTAGCTGAGATAATCGCCCTGCAACAAGCGGTAGAGGCCTCGGCCACCTCCCGTGTCAACCGAGCCTCCGAGACCAACGCCGCAGTTTCAGGGCAGACCCTGGACTGCACAAAAGCCTCATCAACCAAAGGTTTCAGCGGGTGGAATGGTCAAGCCGCAGTCGTTGCGTTGTGTGCCCAACAAGGCACCGTGACCATCAACTACCGAGGCGCCGAGCAGATATGTCGTCTTGGTGATGTGCGTCGATTGATGGGCCCCGTCTGTCTGGTATGTGGAG